AGCATGGCTTTCAAGGTCGACTAGTTTTATGATCTGGAAGGGCTTCGTCTGGGAACTTAAGTAATCCACTTTCAACTCGTTCATACGCATTCTACTAAACATCTAAATATGTCTTCTTGTGTTTCAGTGCAATCACAAGTGAAGTATTCATAGACTCACACCTTTGTGTTGAGTGAATATTGGCAAAGAAATGACTGGTTAGATATGCTTGTGCCCATAAGTGTCGAGTATTTCCCTTCTCAATCACCCATTGATGCTTTTCGATGTTGAATTATGAAACAACCGAACGCCATTGAATATCAAATTCCTCGGTTATCCACCAGGAAGCCATGCATTTTGAGAATGCTGCTGTAAATTATGGGTCACCAATGTTAGCTTGTGCATTGCGAGAAAGATACCAAGAACATAATATGTGCTTAGCATAAGGGATAACATATTTGATAGCCCTCTACATTGCCCTATCCCCATCGATGACAAATGAAATTGGCGATTTATTCAACATAGCTTCTAAAAAATTCTGTAGCACCCACTCGAAAGATTGGGACGTCTCGCCAGCGATTATGGCAGTGGCAAACACAATTGTGTTATGGTGATGATTGACACCGACAATAGGCATAATTGGTCAACCATACAAATTATCTTTGTACGTTGTGTCGAACACAATTACATCACCGAAGCATGTGTAATATGATCTCGATGTAGAATTTGACCAAATAAGATTATGCAATGCCCCTGATTCGTCTACCGAGTATGTCATAAAAAACCCGGGATCATCATGTTTCTTATAATCAAAGTAAGCAATAAGCGCATTCACATCCCCATCGACGATTTCCTTTGCTTTACCTCTTTGAAGTGCATTATAGAGGTCTTTATGTGTAAATCCAACATTATGATAGCTCCCTGCCTGCTGCGTTAAATAGTTCATTACTTGTGACGTGCCAACACCGACCTCTTTCAATGATGTTGCCTCATCGATATCAGCCTTACTTACAGCTCTGTTAGAACGCATAAATGGTGTCATACCAGGTGTGTACAATGCATGATTATGTTTCTGATAAGACTTACTTGTAACCCAATGATCGTTTATATTTGTTGTTGTAACTACGACTCTAGCCTTGCATCCTGTTCTTGTGACTGATGTATGAGCACGTTGACGATCAACAATATTGACTTTTGATACTCGAAACCCTTCTTTTGAACAACAAAATTCTTGTGTCTTCACATTCCCTTCCACGTCAAGCCGTGTTGTTCCCTTACGTGCACTAAACCCATGTTCCCGTGAGAATCCCTTGTAAAAGTACCAAGCTTGATCACGTGAAGAGAAGAGCTGGCCAACCAATCTGTCAGATTACTCAACATTATGTACTTCATGACATTCATTGGTTGGCTTAACATTGTCTGCATCAGTATGATTCATGGTAAAAATTTTGTTGTGCAAGTTCAGTGGTCCCGGAGTTGATGGAGATGTAAGTAAAGGTTCATTGAATAACATGTTTCAGTCGTGCTTTCAATAGGATGTGGTATTGGTAGTGGAAGGGTGGGTCCAACAGTAAATTCGCATGACATATTTAGGTATGTACAATAACTACCTAAATATGTGTCCATACATTTATAAAAAATATCGATCTCAAAAACATCGAAACCCATAATTATAATGTAATAGGTAAATTTACAATGTAACCGATATAAATTTACCGGTTTTATGAGAAAATAGGTTTACATAATGTATCGACACTTGTGGAACTTGTGTCGATACTTGTTGTCCAGAATGAATGCCCAAAATGGTGCACGTATAAAGTGTCGATACATTTATAAAAAGTATCGATCCCAAAAACATCAAAACCCATAATTATAATGTAATAGGTAAATTTACAATGTAACCGATATAAATTTACCGGTTTTATGAGAAAATAGGTCTACATAATGTATCGACACTTGTGGAACTTGTGTCGATACTTGTTGTCCAGAATGAATGCCAAACGGGGTGCACGCATAAAGTGCCGATACATTTGAAATTGTATCGATCCCAAAAACATCGAAACCGATAATTACAATGTAATAGGTAAATTTACAATGTACCCGATAGAAATTTACCGGTTTTATAAAAAAATATGTCTACATAATGTATCGATACTTTTTAAGTTTGTGTCGATACGTTTTAACAGAATGAATGCCCAACGAGGTGCATGCATAAAGTGTCGATACCTTTAAAATTGTATTGATCCCAAAAATATTAAACCGATAATTATAATGTAATAGGTAAATTTGCAATGTTACCAGTATAAATAAACCGATTTAGTTAGAAAATATGTCAATATAAGTGCTACATATTACATTATATAAGTTATACCTAATATGTTATTGTACTTGATAATATTTCCGGTTAAATGTCTATTTTATTATATAAGCGCTACCTATTACATTATATAAGCGATACTTAATATGTTATTGTACTTGATAATATTTCCGGTTAAATGATATAACATAACCGGTTTAAATTTTAACCGTTCACTTGTTTAACCGGTCACACCGTTTTTTAGTCGTTTTTTAGCCCCGCACAACATAAGTTCCCAGGGATAAGGGTACCATAAAGGGGCAGAGAATTTCTATTTCGTGTATGCAGATTGTTCATTGTAAAAGTTTAAGTCGATACTATTTCATCTCATTTTTATAAAACAATGAATATTTTATAATTAATTTAAATACTTTATTTTAAATATTTTATTTGAAATAGAAAAATTAATTATTCTTAAAAGAAATAGTGTAATTTATTTTATTTATAATTTTCAAAATGATTAAATACGATCTTAATTTTAAAAAAGTAATTCTCGTTATTTTAATATTATATTGTATTAATATTTATTAAATATTTAAATATTAAATAAAAGTATTACAATTAATATCGCATTTAATGATGTATTAATAAAGCATTTATAACTCTCTCCCTCTGTTAGGGGTTTACAAAAATATCCGATCCTAATAATCCGATTCGTTTATCCGATAATCAGATCTAAATTTTTGGATATTCGATCCGAATTTTTTTGGATATTTCAGATCGGATATCCGATAAATTTTTTGGATAATCGGGTCGGATACGGATTACAAAAATCCTAATTTCGAATTATTCAAAAATCTAAAATTAATTGGGCCTCTTTTAGCCCTAAGCCCAATACTAGACAATATCCCAATACTAGACAATAGCCCAAAACCTCCTTCACGCTCGCATGCTTCCACTGCCTTTGCCTTACAATTCACTTTGTTTTTCTTTAACTAGTCTCAGACCCAATGGTCAATTTTGGTTTTGGTTCTTCTCCTGTTTTCAAATTGTAATTTAGTCCCTATTTATTGGTTTAGGTATCTTATTATTTAGTCTAAATAATTAATGAATTGATTAAACAGTCAATACACCTAATTTAGATAATTGATATAAAAAATTATTTACAACCATCATATTTATAATTATTATTTCTTAAATTAATTATATATTTTTATCAATTTTTTATCAAATTATAATAAATATTCAGATCGGATTTTTAGATATCCGATCCGAAAATTCGGATATTTGAAATTTCGGATCAGATTCGAATTTCTATTTTTGATATCTAAAATTTCGGATATTCAATATTTTGAATCGGATCAGATCTGATATATAAATTTCCACCCCTATGCATCTACCCGTCCTCTCTTTCCCAATTATCCATCTCCTTCAACATTGAAAGTTTAAACCAACATGTCAACCCAAACTCCATTCCCAAGACTTTTAAATCATCACCCAAAGACCTCCATCTTTGCCATTTCTCAATTTTCAACCCCTTATTTGTTTTGTTTTTCACGAATCCATTTACAAACTATAAAACAAAATTGAATTCTATCGGGCTTATAATTTATGTTATCTTCAAATTATGGATTTTAATTTTTGGTCTTCAACAAGTTATAGGGATTCAAAATCAAATGAAGTAAATGGATATTAAAAATTATTTTTTAAAATAAAAATAAAATATATAAATTAAGGAATAAATTTATTATTATACTAATTTTTATCAACTGTTATATCATTTATTATTAAACTTTGGGTAAACTACTTATTTAATCATTCAATTATTTACACGATTCCGTTTTAGTTACCCAATTGTTTTTTTCTAAAATCATACCTAACGTTATATTTAGTTTCATTTTGTTCATCCGTCGTTAAAAAAATTAAAGGTAAACTACTCAAATGATCGCTTAGCTGTGAGATTGGTGTCGATCTGACCATCATACTTTCAATTTTGACAACATAACCACATAACTATTTAAGTGATTTCAATATAACCACATACCGTTGCAAAATAAACAATGTAACTGAAGTAGACCTCTAACTGGCCATTAGTCAATAACAGCCACATCAACTACATCTTTTGTTTTATAACGATAGGTGGCTACATTGAAACCGCTTAAATAGTTATGTGATCATATTGTTAAAATAAAAAGTATGATGGTCATATCGACACCAACCTCATAGTTAATTGGTCATTTGAGTAGTTTACTAAAAAATAACAGTGATATTAATGTTTCAGCATAAGGTAATAACATGTCATCATTGAAAAAATAAAAAAAAAATTCGCATCAATATTTTTGTTAATTTTTAAAACAACAAGTGATCAAGATGAAACCAAAACGTAACATTAGGTATAATTTTGAAAAAAAAATAATTGGATGACCAAAATATAATTGTACAAATAATTGGGTGACTAAATACGTAGTTTACCCTTAGTTTTTTAATAGAAAGGATCAACTTGTTAATGTTTTAAGTTGGGTGACCATTTTGTAACTTTACATAAGATTTTATAAAAAAAATAATGTAAGGGACTATTTATGTATTTTACCATTTTTTAATTAATAAGCAGAAGGCCAACGCGTACTCAATCGGATACAGATTTAGACAATGACCACCACTAATTCAAATAAAAAATAAAATCCATTTCCCATTTCTCGATATTTATTCTTGTTATTTACCTACCAACTTCTCCACTCTCGTCTTTTTCTTCTTCAGCGTCTTCAACAATGGCATCCGTCGATCTCTACAAGTCTAATGAAACGACTATCGCCACTACCAACGACAATCACATTGACCACGGCTGGCAAAAGGTATCATATCCCAAACGTCAATTGAAGACCAAGCCCAACGCAAATCCCCAAAAACCTATCCTTTCCCTCCCAAACGGGACCATAACTAACGACGGCACTAACATTTTTCATTCCCTCGAGAAGTAGTATGAGGATCGTCGTCGTCGGGTTCTCGAAGCTCAAAGAGCTTACAATGATGTTGATGTTAATATGAAGGCAAAGCATAACAGATCAGACTTCGATGACGACGATGGTAAGGATAGCAGTGATATGGAAGGTGTTAAACCTGAAGAGAAGTCGGCAGAGGAGAAGAAGGTGAAGAAAAAGAAACTGAATAACCCTAAGGTTACGGCTGCAGAGGTCGCATTGAAGATTGATCCCACTGATCACTCGGCTTATCTCGCTATAAGCATAGAAAATGAAATATTTTATGTCTTTTTTATGGTTTCGTAACTTGTTGATCGATTAACATTTTTTATTGGTTTGGAAAAATTAGGAGTTGAATGGAGAACAACAGGAAATTCAAATGCAGAAGTTTACGAATTTTTATGGGAAGACGTTTCAAGAAGTGGTAGCCGGACAGTTTCCATGGATGAAGATGTTTAGGGAAAATATCATTATCAAGCTTGCTGATGTGAGTTGATGTTCATTTATGTTCAACCATGCTCTGAGATTTTGATATACCAATAGTAAATTTTTTTAAGAAAATTTAAAATTATTTTTTAATACGATTTTCAAATTTATATTCAATTCAACCATTATAATATAATTTTTTTAAAGTCAAAAACTCTTTCTTTACTACTTAATCTTTTGAAAAAATCAAGTCATATACTGGAAAAAATTTCAAACATTTTACAAAGGGTTTCGGATTTTAATCGAGTTAAAAATAAAATTTAAATCCTAGAGTATCGATACTGCAAGAATAATATCGATACTTTTCAAGTGGTATCAATACATGTAAAGACAATAAATGAAGAGGTATAAAAACAAGATTTCAAGTCATATGTAAAGACAATAAATCATAGAGAAAGCCAAATGCAATCAATTTAAGCCAAAATCAAGTCAACATTCTTTAATATTCTTTTTGCTTTCAAATAACACTTTGTACTCATTTGTTTCATTTTGTTGAGTGTTATTCTTTTTTCTTGAATTGTGCAAACAAATTCCTAGTGAGGTTTACTAGTTTTCTATTTGTAATTTCTTCTTAGAAAAGGTTGAACACTTATCCTTGTTTGCTGTTTGTAATTTCTTCTTAGAAAATGTTGAACACTTAAGACTTTGGGGTATAAGTTTTAGTGTTGTGTAAGGTTACACCTTTCCTAAAAGGAAAAAACAAATTAGTAAATTTGTACTCTAAAATTCTTGTGCCAATTTCTTACTTCTTTCAAAAGCTTCCAATAACTTTTAAATTTGCCAATTCACCCCCTCTTGGCCATTTTCTTTGATCGATTGAATTAAAATTGATATCAGAGCTAGACTCATTGGAAGGTTTTACCACCTTTTGAGAAGATCCTAGAAGATTCAAGTCATCAAATAAGTCATCAATGGCCACTACATCAAGCTTCGACGTCATCAATGATTCTCAACCTATCAACAAGTCTTCTTACTTCAGTGGAGTCAACTATGCCTATTGCAAGAATAAGATGATGTTTTTCATCCAAGCAAATGACTTAGGAGCTTGGGGCATCATATTGAGTGGACATTCTACTCCAACTAAAACTTTGACGGAATAGAGTGAAAAATAAATGAAATTGTTCCAACTCAATGCAAAGACAATGTATATTCTATTTTGTGCACTTGGACACGATGAATATGAGAGAGTTTTATCTTGTTTCAATGCCAAGGAGATTTGGGACAAACTTGAAGTTACTCATGAAGGAATAAATGAGGTAAGAAAAAATAAGATTAGTCTTCTCAATCATAATTATGAAAACTTTAAGATGAGACCAGATGAGGATATTAAGAGCATGATCGATTGATTTTCTATTAACCTCAATGGTCTCAAAGGCTTTGGAGAAGTTATTCCTAATGAGAAGCTTGTTAGGAAGATGATCTATAGTCTTCCTATGTCATGGAAATCCAAGAAGACTGACATTGTTTAAGCAAAAAACCTTAAGACCCTCAATATAGATGAGCTCATTGGGTCTTTTCTTACTCATGAAATGATGGTGAAGGAAGAAGAAGAACAAGAAAATAAAGATGAGGAAAATAAAGAAATTGAAAAGAAAAAAAGGTTGGTGTTGCTCTCAAGTTTACTAAAGATGAAAGTGACTCAAACGAAAATGATGGAGATGAAGAAATACCAATGTTTTCCACAATATTCAAGAGGTTCGTGAGGTCCAACAAAGGAAAGAGGTTCCAAAAAAAGAAAGGCTTCAAAAATGAATCAAATGAGAGTGATCCTATTATTTTCTATGAGTGCAAAAGCGCGGGCATGTCAAGTTTGAATGTCCACAATTGAAGAATAAGAGATCATTCAAGAAAAAACACAAGGCATATGTAGCTACATGGAGTGATGATGAGTCCTCCAATGATAAAGAGGAGGAAGTAGCCAACTTGTGTCTCATGACTATAGAAGATCATTCCAAGGTAACCTCTAATTCATCCATTTCAATTGATTATCCTTTTGATGAATTACAAGAGGCTTATGACGAATTAGCCTTAAAAATGATAGCATGATTTCTAAGCAAAAGAAAAATATTTCAAAATTGAAAGATGAAAATGCTCTAGTTTCTAAGACTAATTTTGAAATTGAAAGTCAAGTCAAAGACATGCATGTCAAATGAAGAGTTTGAAAAAAAAATAAAGAATTACATAACTTACTTTCAAGAGTTCATGATGATCATCAAAAGAAACTTGATGATCTTAAGGCTTCTTTTAACTATGTTGGGAAAAAAATTGAAAAGGTGAATAGTAAAAACCCAACTATGTAAAAAATATTTTAATTATTACAAACATAGAGGTCCCCAAATAGCCTTTTATAGAAAAATTATTAGAAGTATATGGGTCCCCAAAAGACTCATTGCTACTAATGATAAGGATATCCTTGAAAAATGGATGCATAATGTGGCAAGAATATTGAGAATTAATGTTAATGGACCCAAAAGAATTTGGATACCAAAAATAAAAACTTAATATATGTTTGTAGGTGGAGCATTGCTACAGGGAATAAAGCAAATGTTCAAATTCATAATACCTTGATAGTGGATGCTCAAGACACATGACCGATGATAAGAGTCGGTTCTTGGAGCTTAAAGCTAAAAGTGGAGGAGTAGTAACCTTTGGTGACAACTCAAAAGGTCACATTGAAGGAATTGGTTCTATTTGTAACAGCTTTACCATTCTTATTGAAAATGTTTTGTATGTGAATTGGTTGAAGCATAATCTACTTAGTATTAGTCAATTATGTGAGAAGGGATACAATGTCTTATTTAAGTCTAATGGTTGCAAAATTATGGACATTGCATCTAATAAGATTATGTTTGTTGGTCATAGGATAGGAAATATCTATATGGTGCATTTAGATAATATTGATATTTTTAATGTATGCTTGGTTGCTAAGGATGAACATGATTGTTGGTTATGGCATACAAAACTTGGACATGCTAGCATGAATGTTTTACAAAAACTTATTCAAGATAATCTAGTAAGAGGTTTGCCTACGATAAAACTTGATATTGATAAGATTTGTGATGCATATGCTAAGGGGAAACACAAACGATCTTATTTTAAACCTATTAATAATGTATCATCTAGGAGATTATTACAATTGATCCATATAGATCTTTTTGGGCCTATTAGAACTACTAGCTTGGGTGGAAAACAATATGCATTTGTCTTGGTAGATGACTATTTTAGATTTACTTGCGTTCTATTCTTAAGTACAAAAGATGAAACTTTTAAAAAAAATCATCACTTTCTCTAAAATAAACCAAAATGAAAAAGGTTACTCAATTTTAAGTGTTAGGAGTGACAACAAAACTAAATTTCAAAATCTTGGTTTTGATGAATTTTTAATTCAAATGGAATTAGCCAAAAAATTTCAGCCCCTAGAACCCCTAAACAAAATGGTGTTGTTGAGAGGAAAAATAGAACTTTAGAAGAAATGGCTAGGACCATGCTTTGTGAAAACAATTTGCCTAAGTATTTTTTGGCGGAAGCAAAAAATACTGCTTGTTATATGATTAATAAAGTAATGATTAGACCTATTTTAAAGAAATTCTATATGAACTTTTCAAAAAAAAAGTCTAACATTTGTTATTTTTATCTTTTTTGGACGCAAGTGTTTTGTTTTAAATAATGTAAAAGATATAGTTGGCAAATTCGATGAAAAAAGTGATGAAGGAATTTTTCTTGGTTATTCTTTAAATTTTAAAGCTTATCGAGTCTTAATAAAAGAACTCTAGTGGTAGAAGAGTCCATATATGTTGTTTTCGATGATAATCCCCTTTCGAGGAAGGATTCTTGTGTTGACGATAATGTAAGTATCTTAAATTCAAATGAAGTTTGTGAATCATCATTTAACAAAATAAAGAATGAGGAAACTCAAGATACCCTCAAGAATCTAACTTTAGAAGAAAGGGAAATTTCATGCCCAATGGAGTACAACTATGTCAAAGATAGTGAAATTTTGGGTGATCCATCTAAAGGGTTAACCACTAGATATTCTCTTAAGAATATTTGTAATTATGTTGCATTTATCTCTTGCATAGAGCCTAAGAATGTCAAAGAAGCATTCAATGATGAACATTAGATTATGGCTATGCAATATGAGTTAAATCAATTTGAGAGGAGTCAAGCATGAACATTAGCTGAAAAGACTAATGAAAAATCTATTGTATTTACTAAATGAGTATTTAGGAATAAATTATATGAATGTTGCAAAATTATGGACATTGCATCTAATAAGAATAAGGAATATATTTTGATGAAACTTATGCTCTCGTAGCTAAGATGGAGGCAATTAGGATGTTATTAGCATTTTCATGTTTTCATGATTTTACTTTATATCAAATGGATATTAAAAGTGTTTTTCTAAACAATTTTATAAAATAAAAAGTGTATGTGAAATAACCTTCCGATTTTTAGGATTCAGAATTTCCAGATCATATTTTTAAATTGACAAAAGCTTTGTATGGTTTAAAACAAGCTCCTAAAGCTTGGCATGAAAGGTTGTCAAATTTTCTTGTTAAAAAAGTTTTTCAAAAGGGAATGACACTACTTTATTTATAAAAACAAAAGGTAAGGATTTGTTATTAGTACAAGTTTAAGTTGATGATATTATTTTGGATATACTAATAGTAATATATGCCAAGAATTTGCTAAGTTAATGCAAGGTGAGTTTGAGATGAGCATGATAGGGGAGCTCTCATTTTTTCTTGGGACTCTAAAGCAAGTAAATGAAAGATGACATCTTCATCAATAAAGCAAAGTACATCAAAGATATTCTTAAGAAGTTTGGATTGGAAGATATGAAACCCCAAACCACTCTTATGTACTCATCTACAAAGCTTGAAAAGGATGAGGAAGGTAAGTGTGTAAATGTTAAGCTTTATAGGTTTATGATTGGATCATTGCTTTATCTTACCGCAAGTAGACCATACATTATGTTTAGTGTTTGCTTATGTGTTAGAT